TAAAAAAAAGTCAGCTTACCTTAGAATTATGAGTGATTATTTCTTTACATTCCTGGCACGTATTGGCGTACAGGTGATCATAGCACGGGATGCAGTGGGGGTTGTCCTCCACCTGGATGTACTTGCGTCCGTAGAGGGACTCGTGGCAGTTCTTGCAGTCGAACCGATCGCTCATGATGTCAAGCCGACCTCCTGCGAACAAAGAATTCACAGTTTAGCAAACACTGTCAGCAGCACGAAGGCAAAGGGAGGATCGGGGGCGAGGGAGTTGGTCAAACACTCATAGAGATAGAAGGAAAGGAAAAAGGAAGGGAAGGGCCAACACAGCTGTCGCTTTCAAATACCGTGTTTTCCACACTAAAAGGTGCACTGGATTATGAGGCTCACCTTCAATAAATGGCCTATTTTGTAATTTTTCTCATATATTGGACGCACCGAATTATAAGACGCAATCTACAATGCATCCACTAGATGGAGCTACGCTCAAGGAAATGCCAACAGAACGATCAGATGTCAGTAAAACTTATTTAAGAAAGCAGCGACACAGTTCACTTAACCAACAGCAAGTTATAACATTGACTCGTTAACGTTGAACTCTCTTGCCGCTGCCCTACTTCCGTGTTTAACTGTGAAACCGATCGCCTTAAGTTTGAACTCTGCGTTGTTAGCATGTCTCTAGCAAGGAGCCATTTTGGGGTTGACATATTACCGCAATGACCATACACAAGGCGCATCGGATTTTAAGGCATGCTGTGAGCTTTTAAGAAAATGGAAGGCTTTTAGGTGTGCCTTTTAGTGCAGAAAATACGGTATTGTGAAGGTGAATTTCTCAACAAAAGGTGAGAAATAGAGAGAGAGAGAGAGAGAGAGAGAGAGAGAGAGAGAGAGAGAGAGAGAAGCAACATTTCTCAGTGAAATTCAGTTCAACACTCGACAGACATTTATGGTTAAATACTATAACCAAACAATATTACATGTTCACTGGTGGAGTTATCAATCAGTCAGGAATCGTAGTTTTAGCCTTTATTTGACCTCCAATTGTTTGGAGATTAATATTAGCATTGTTAGCCACGTGAGCCACCCTCCTTGATGGTTTAAGATAAGAAAACCTTTATTAGTAGAAAGTCATTTTAATGTAGCTCATGTGTGCGTTCATAAATACAAATACAATCTTACATCTGTAATTTGTACATCTGCCATCAGAATTTTTGTCTTTTTTTTTTTTCTTCTACTCAAAAGGCAAAATTGCGATGTGAGGCCAGGTTCACCTTATTGCAGTGGCTGCACCGAGGAGCAAGCCTGCCCTCGTAGCACGGCACACAGTAGTAATTGTTTTCGGCTGGGATGAAGGCCTCGGCGCCGATGGGCTTCTCGCAGCCGTGACACACGAAGCAGTCCTCGTGCCATGTGGAGCCGCTATACTCCAACATTTTGGATCCTGCAACAGAGGAGAGACGGAAATGTTTGTGATCGTTCTCTTCTAGTGTCATCTACAGGAACGATGTGATTTTTCAACATGATGGTTAAACCTGTTCCGCAGATGCGCCAAGATTTTCTGACTACGCTTCACACTTCCTGGTATGAGTTGAACAGTAGATTCCCACCAAATAATCGAATTGTAATTCATGGATCTTTGTTCATCTGTCTATTCGGGCGACATATAGTGACAGGTCTTTTTGTTTAACAATTTCTGGCACCTGCATTGTAGGTTGAAACTGAGTGCTAACATTTTAAAAGGTCAACAGCTTTGAAGTACATCCCAGGCTGAAGGGAAACCACCTACTTTAGTTACGTAGCTGGAATAACCCTCACAACAAGCCACATGATAGGAAAACTTTTCAGCCATCCGACACCACCGCAGCTGCCACAGCCTGACAACCGCAGCCGCAATCAATTTGTCACATCCAACCTGTCATGCCTCGAATGAAAACAACGCAGCCCCTACATCACTGAAGAGCTTCTTTTTGCCCCCAAGGGCAACTCGGTGGCTCAGTTCCCAGGGTGCAAGTGTGAGCTCGGCGATGGAGTAGGCCAGTAGGGTGAAAGAAAGCCATCTCACCAGGCATCACCTTCTTGTCGCAGACCACGCACTTGGAGGAGAATTCGTTGCTGTAGCACTCGCTGCACACCAGAGCGTCATCCTGGCTGGTGAAGGGCTCATCGGCCAGAGAGCGAGTGCAGCGCACGCAGCGGAAGCAGTGTTCGTGGTAGTACCTGTCGTTATAGAAGAGCTCCTGGAGGAAGAAAGGCGAGTGGGTCACCCTGTGTAATTTGTAAAACATTCAATCACAATATGCTGAATGTGAACATTACCAGAACGGACCATTGCATGTGATCGAATAATGTATGTCTTGAGACTTGGTGAAGCAAGCTTGTTCTGTGCTTGGTGCTCTCTGTAAATTAATTATGCTATGATCGCCGCCTATTAATAGAATACCACAAGATTTTATGAATTGCAGTTATGCCCCCCAAAAATGGCACCGTGCATACAGTAAATCACAGGCTTAATGAAAAGTGGCAGCTGGTGTAATTTTTGTGGAACTTTTCAGTCAATGCCTTTCTTAAAGGCACTGTAGCATGTCTGTAATTTTGTTGAGGAAACCTGTGATTAAGTCCACCATACCTGTTCTTACCACTGTGGTCCGGGCTCCACGTTCTCCTCTTAAAATATGTTTAAGTTACTTCACTGAGTTGTACATGAAAAAAAAAAAAAAACATGCTATAGAAGCCTGGCTGAGCCACATCCAATATGGCTACCATATCTACACGTCGTATGGCGATGGTCCGGGCTGCCAACCCGGAAGTAAGTCCATGTTTGAGACGCCAGAGATAAACGAATCAATTTCACTCATCGATAACTGTATACTATTAACCATAATCATCTAAAAACAGACACGCGTATCTTCTTGGATATTTGTCTCACAATATTTCATTTTCACAAATTTTTATGCCTCTCAAGATAATTCGGTTGCGCGAGAGGCCGACAACGCCCCATAGCGCCATCTGCTG